GCATGAAGTGGTGGGACTTGATGAGGTGGTGGCAGTGGAGAGGTGAAGTGAATAACTTTGATAGCTCTAACGGGCAGAATGGGTAGCACGTGGGGGTTTGTTGAGAGGGAAAGCGAAAGGCAAGGATGATTCAGGGCTTGGATGGGGGTTCTCCCACAGGCTTAGGAAAGGTGGGACTGTTGGTTTGGGAGAAAGAGTTTAGTGATGGGTATTGAGTTTGAAGTGCTTGAGGGGCACATTCAGATAAAACCAGGGGCTGGTGGTGTGCATACGTTTGACATTCTAGAAAGAGGTGAGATGTCATCAGCACATAGCCGGTAAGGTAACTGGAGCTGCAGGAGAGGGTTGAGGGAAAGTGCAGCAGGAAAGATGGCATAGTCAACTCGTAGTCAACTGCTGAATGCTTTTGGTTGACCAAATAAGCCGGTGATGTTAGAAGCTCAGACGTTGGAAGCGGTTCTCCTGGGGAGGAATCTTGGAAAAGTTCGTGGGAAACTAAAAGATTAGTATCTACAGAAGGACTGCTACGGGCCATGCTCTTCTGCTAGAGATTTTATACTACCTTGTTTAGCTCTCATAGCAATCTTTAAATATTAGCTCCATTTTTCAAAGAGATCAAAACTCTGAAAAATGTCTTGCCTAAGATCACACTATGACAATTAAGTGTTAGAGATTAACCCTTACCTTTAGAGTCTGAGTTCTTTCCACTCCTTCCTTTGTCTATGCCTGCATCCTGCCATGTGGGGTGATTTTATTAATCCACGATTTGGTTCAACACACACGAGTGTTTGCTGGGTGCTAGGAACTGTTATAGGTGCTGGGGATATAGCAGTGGATGAAACAAACACTTCATGATTCATACATTCCAGAGGGAGCCAGACGTAAGTATGCAATCTCATAAAATGATTGACATGGAGATTTTTAAAAAGCAGGACCAAAGAGTATGTATTTAGGGCTTTCTTTTTAAATAGAGTAGACAGTAAGGCCTTGATGAATAAAAGTGACATTTCAGCTAAGACCTGAGGAAAGGGAGAAAGCCAGTCCTCTAGTTACCTGTGGTTGTGAGTGGATAGGGAGCAGGAGTAAGAATATTAAATCTCCAAGGTAAGAGGATGCTAGGAATGCCCCAGGAACAGCAAGGTGGCCAGTCTGATGGCAGCAGGATGAGCAAAGGCCAGCAGCAGGATATCAGATCAGAGAAGTGGGGTGTGGGGCAAGGGTGGGAGACTAGACCAGATTTTGGGCCATGTAGACCAAATTTAGTATTTTGACTTAAACATCTTAGGTGGAAAGCCATTTGGTGGGTTTTAAGCCGAGTGGTGATGTGCCAAAAAGACCAAATGGGGAGCAAGGACTAAGCAGGGAGGCCAGTTAAGGCCATGGTGGTACCGAGGAGAGAAATGAGGGTGGACAGGTGTGGTGGCTCACACCTATAATCCTGACACTCTGGGAGGCTGAGGCAGATGGAGTGCTTGAGCTCAGGAGTTCCAGACCAGCCTAGCTAGAGTGAGACTGTTTCTGCTAAAAATAGAAAAATTAGCTGGGCATCATGGTAGGTGCCTGTAGTCCCAGCTACTTGGGAGGCTCAAACCCAAGAGTTTGAGGTTGCTGTGAGTTATGACACAACACTACCCAGGGCAACAGTGAGATTCTGTCTCAAAAAAAAAAAAAAAATGACAGTGGTGGTGCAAAGTCATCCAATTTCTAAAATGTTTGAAACATAAGATTTGATCTTGGCTCAGTGCCTGTGGCTCAAGCTGCTGGAGCACCAGCCACATACACCTGAGCTGGCAGGTTCGAATCCAGCCCAGCCTGCCAAACAACGATGGCTGCAACCAAAAAATAGCCAGGCGTTGTGGCGGGCCCCTGTAGTCCCAGCTACTTGGGAGGTGGAGGCAGGACACTCGCTTGAGCCCAGGAGTTAGAGGTTGCCATGAGCTATGATGTCAGAGCACTCTACCCAGGGCAACAGCTTGAGGCTCTGTCTCAAAAAAAAAAAGAAAAAAAAAACTTGATCTTACAGTGTAAACTTTGACAACTGAAAATATATTTTTGTTTATTGAGATCAGGAGTTTCTCATTGAGACTAAGGAGGAAGTCAGCAAGGTAGAGAAGAGTGAGGTGTTCTGGAACAAAGCAACAGTCTCAAGGAATGATTAACTCAAATGCTGCCTACAGGATGGTCAAAACGTATCGGATACAGCACTGGAGTTACTGGTGGCTTAAATAAGGTGTTAGTGTGTGGGGGTTGAGGGGCAGGATTGCTGAGGTTTGGAAAGGGGAAAAAGCAGTACTTGGGAGGCTGAGGCAAGAGAATTGCATAAGCCCAAGAGCTGGAGGTTTCTGTGAGCTGTGATGCCACAGCACTCTACCAAGGGTGATAAAAAGGGAAAAGAGTTGGTGAAGTGAATATACAATAGACAGCATTCAGTTTCACTGTATATAAAGGAAAACAGAAATTTGTAGTAGTAAAGATGTGCAATCTTGGGCAGTGCCTATGGCTCAATGAGTAGGGTACCGGGCCCATATACAGAGGGTGGTGGGTCCGAACCTGGCCCTGGCCAAACTGTAACCAAAAAATAGCTGGGTGTTGTGGTGAGTGCCTGTAGTCTCCGCTACTAGGGAGGCTGAGGCAAGAGAATCGCTTAAGCCCAGGAGTTGGAGGTTGCTATGACGCCATGGCACTCTGCTGAGGGTAACAATGAGACTGTCTCTTAAAAAAAAGTGCAATCTTAAGAGAAGTCGCTATTAAAAACAAACCAAAAAAGTCACTATGTAAATCCTTATACTAAGATTACTATAGGACATTCATGACCCTTACATCCAAATACTGCTGTTCCATAGTATGGTAGGTTGTAAAACAAACTGTTCTTTTAAGGAAGATAGCATTCTATCTTCTTTAGGGGTATACAGGGTGGGAGAACAAAAGCTTGACCTTAAGCTTTGACTAACCACTACATACCAGGTTTAAAGACTTCCTTCAGTCTAATACCCTGACCCAATTGGAAAAATTCTGGCTGGGCTCAGTGCCTGTGGCTCAAGTGGCTAAGGTGCCTGCTACATACACCTAAGGTGGTGGGTTTGAATCCAGCCCGGGCCCGCCAAACGACGATGGCTGCAACCAAAAAAAATAGCCGGGCGTTGTGGCGGGTGCCTGTGGTCCCAGCTACTTGGGAGGCTGAGGCAGGAGACTCACTTGAGCCCAGGAGTTAGAGGTTGCTGTGAGCTGTGATGCTACAGCACTCTACCCAGGGGAACAGCTTGAGGCTGTCTCAAAAAAAAAAAAAAAAAGAAAAGAAAAATTCTGGCTGGAGAATTAAAATCAACTGGCCCGCCTACCTCCCTAACCACACGATTGCTACCTTTCTGAGGTTAAAAATTAAGTTTCCCCCTCTTCGTGGGGTCAGGTAGGATCAAATTTATAGCTCCTTTATTTGTAAGTTAATTTCCTAAAACCTGTATTAGATTTATATAAGCTTCTGCTTAATTGGTATGTGCCTGATAACCACCAAAAGCTGTAAACTCATTAAAATTTCAGTGAACAGAGAATTTGCATTAATCTGACTCCAACAGGGACACAAATATTAATTCCTCTGACCACCTCTTCTCAGAACAGATAGGAACAGACAGAACCTTTGATGTCAAAAGAGGTTCTATCAGGTCCAGCCCCAGTGGCTCTCACATCTATTCCCAGCACTTTCAGAAAGCTGAAGCAGGAAGGACTGAACACTTGAGACTGGAAGTTTGCAACCAGTCTGCCCACAAGACTAAAAATTAGGTGAGGGTGGTGGCACATACCTATAGTCCCAGCAACTCAAGAGGCTAAGGCTGGAGGATCACTGGAGCCCAGGAGTGTGAGGTTGCAGTGAGCTGTAGTGGTGCCACTTCAATTATTTACTGAGTCTTTATCAGGCTCAGTAGCAAGACTGTTTGCCTTGAGGAGTGCCCCAAAGCACCAGTAGGTTGCTTAGGTGTGAAGATATTTAACCAGGATTGCAGTAGCACTTTTTCAAAAGCCCCCATCTAAGACAACAAAGCCTAAGCAGGCCCAGGCCCATCAGGATGTTCCAGAGGGGGAGAGGGGGTGGTGGCCAATCCTTTTAGGTGCTTTCCTAAAATACATTCACCTGTGTAGAGCTTTAGTTGGATCAAGAAGCTAATTTTACCTAGACACTGTTACTTTCTGAGAGATTACAGGAATCTTCCTGGGGATGCAAGAATAACTTCTGGGAATGTTTGCAAGATAGCTTGTCAAGGGATCAGCCTCCCTTGCCCCGTTATTTTATGACAAAAGTCAAAATTTTTGTTGCTATGCATAGCAATTCTCCTCCAAATTCATAAGACTTGGGACTCATCTGATTATAGACATTGTTTAGGTTTACTTTTAGTAACTTCACCCAAAAAAACCCCTTAAATCTTAAGTAGCAAACAAGGAATTTGTAACTTTAGAAGTCTCAAAAATTAGGCCAGGCATTATTAGTGGCTCATGCTGGTAATCCCAGTACTCTGGGAGGCTGAATAAAGTGAGACCTTCTCTATACTAAAAATAGAAAAATTTGCCAGGCATTGTGGTGAATGCCTGTTGTCCCAGCTACTCAGGAGGCTGAGGCAGAAAGACTGTTTAAACTCAGGATTTTTTTTTTTTTTTGGAGACAGTCTCAAGCTGTCACCCTGCAGCAACCTCCAACTTGGGCTCAAGTGATTCTACTGCCTCAGTTTTTCTATTTTTAGTAGACAGGGTCTTGCTTTTGCACAGCTTAGTCTCCAACTCGTGAGCTCAAGCAAACCATGCCCAGGATTATAGGCATGAGCCACCACGCCCAGCTTAAACCCAGGAATTTGAGGTCGCTAAAACCTACGCTGACACCACCACCCTTTAGCCTGGATAGGTGAGATATGTCTCAACATCCTCACAAACTAAGATGCGTTTCCCACACCTCACAATAAAAGCTAACAATTCTCCAAAAATCACAGATGGTCTTTTCAGTCTCACACAATTATATCAAGTATCACAATGTTTATTGATAGATACAAGTATATAAAATCAGGGCATGAACATGACTTGATAAATTAAGTAGACTTAATTTCAATACTATAATAAGAGGGACCAATTCAAATTCTCACCATTTGTTTCACACCCACAAAAACCACTTCAAGGGCATTAACGATCTCTCAAAACTGATCAGTTTTGTGCAAGTAAACCATGTTTCTTTTTAAAAAGACTTGTGCACTTGCCCAGGCTCAAGAATATTAAAATCTAGCACATAAAGCCCATTACTAGAGGTAGAAATACAGGCAATATACTATTACGGCAACAACCATCAATTACAGTTAAGAATTTTTTCTGTAACAACCAAATGGATAATCAAATATTGCAACAACTCAAGTATTACTGAGCAAAGTGCATTTCTACAGTATTCAGTGTTGCTATTCAGTTTTCTAACTTAAAACAGCCTATGATAACTGGCAGCAAAGAAGGTCCTTGCAATAGACTGCCTCTGCTTGAGAACTTATGATGTAATTATTGCATGCTGCTAATATACTATCTAAACATTAAAGATACTCCTAAAATATTTGATGGTAGACTATGATTAAGACATTACACTACAAAAAAACCTTATGCAGAAGGAGATCCTAACTGACGTGCTTCTGCTTTAAATGTCGTGAAAACATTACAGCGGAATGAATTTTCGCAGTGGTTAGGTCAAATGCAGTTACATCATAGCAACAGTATGTTTTGCACAATTTAAGGCTTTGGCTGGTTCTTTAGTCAGCTTCTTCCTCTGATTCTTCTTCTTCAGCAGTTTCTAGCCAGGTTAGCCACTGATTCACCTGTGAATTAGATTTGTAACTTGGTAAAATTAGTACTTAACACAAGATGAAAACCAAGTTTTGATTTAGGATCTAAGCAGAACTCCATCTAAGTTTTAGTTTTAAGTTACACAACATAGCTGTTTATAGCCAGTTACCTTGGAACAAGTGTGTATGTGTGAGCACGTATGTGGTTGTTTCTAAAAAGTGTCATGTGCAGTCCCACCTAGGAACTACCAGATCAGATTCCCTAAGGACAAGGTTAAAGGTGTATTAATGGAAGGATGACCCTCATGAACCTAGTTTGTAAATCACAGGGGTAAAAAGGTAAGATGCTGCAGACCAGTGCTTCCCAAAGATCTTGCAAAACTCAGAACAATCATCTGGATTGTGTACCAAGCCTACTAAATCAGAATCTTTGTGTTCAGACCTACGACCTCTTTTAAAATACTTTCTAGATGATCAATATACACTGATTTAGAATGCCCTGATGTGTGTTCTTCTCACAGGGCTATAATTCTATTTGATCATAAATAAATTAATCTGTAAGAAATCAGAAATAATCACTTAAGTTCTAAAAAACTTAAATCCAAACATGTCCAATCACCCACCTAATCTATGTAAGTACCTTCACTCCTTAAAAAACTCATTAAGCTGGTGGTGCCTGTGGCTCAAAGGAGTAGGGCGCCAGAGGTGGCGGGGTTTAAACCCAGCCCTGGCCAAAAACTGCAACCCCCCCCCCCGCCCCAAACCGTTAAGCTACCTCTAAATTAACATCTTCTGCACCACCAGGATTGAAACAAGACTTCGTAGCTTTACTTTTTGTTGCTAACTGCCTACTTAATAAACCAGTTTCTTTTCTTGTCATCTTTGGTAGAGTGGTATGGCATCACAGCTCACAGCAACCTCCAACCCCTGGGCTTAGGCGATTCTCTTGCCTCAGCCTTCCAAGTAGCTGGGACTACAGGCACCCACCACAACGCCCAGCTATTTTTTGTTGCAGTTTGGCTGGGACTGGGTTCGAACCTGCCACCCTCAGTACACGGGGCCAGTGCCTACCCAGAGCCACTAGTGCTGCCCAATAAACCAGTTTCAAAGAGTGCAGAATGATGTATGGGTAAAGACCAACTACTAACTAAGGACCATCTGACCTACATTTCAGTTTAAAAAGAAAGCTAAAAAAAAAAAGTAAAAAATAAAAAGGTGGTTCATCATCTGAAGTAATACCAAAATATGCAGATCAAATTTCTTTCTTTATGTATTATATTTACCTGGAACAAAGCCTTGCCTTTCCCTGGAAACTCTTGGGTTATATCTTCTTTCCAAGCCAAGAAAGCTTCTTCTTCAATAATTTCCATGTCATAGAAGTGCACAAAAAAGCGGAGTAACATGCCTAAAAACCAAAATGTTATATTATTTAGTTTACTTTTTAAGAACTGTTCCACACTCACCAACCTGATCACTGTGCACTTACCTTTTGGGAAGTTGCTGTTGTAGCAGTGCACCTGAAGAGCATACAGGGCACTGACTTGCAGATCAACATGATCGTGAAGAAATTTCTGCATTACTGGCTTGAAAGAAAGAAGCAGTTGTTTTTCCTGCTCTAACTGTTCTTTGGAAGGAGCAGAGGAAGAATCTGTTTCATCACTGGGTGGGTTTACTTCACTAGAAATATACTGTAAGAAGCTGGACAGAAAAGAGGCCTTATTAGAACTCAAGAGTTAAGTTTTCTGGCTTAAGAAACAGACTACTCTTAGTCCTTTGACTATGTATACATATTTTCTTACAAACAAAGTATTATTGTATATAGAGGATCACTCATCTTACCTAGTCATTAAGATGTTCACAAATCCTTTATCTACATGAAGTTTGGGAGAGATGTTATCTTTAATCCATTTATATATGGTTTGAGGGGATGGATCCAACTTTATTTGCTTCAACAGTTCCTTCTCCAATTTGAGGAGTGGGAATAAGAAACTCAGTCCCTTTCCTTCCAAAATCTCCAACATGCGGTCCTTATTCTGATCAATTTCTG